TATATAATTACTTGTGCTATAATGACAAAAACATATATATATATATATGTGTGTGTGTGTCTGTGTGTGTGTATGGATATGTATATATAACTTGTCACAAGCGAACGTTGAGTATGCTGTAGCTTACACAATCAATTCACAATCCCTTTTCTGTCTACATAGTATGCGCTTGTCAGTATGGGAATTATCTCCGTTGCATTGCTTGCCATAGATGGCAGTAGTTTCGTCCTCTGATATCGCAAGGTGAAGAATTTGTGTATATTTCATATACACGCATTTGCCTTGACTTAAATTATCGTCGCCACTTTTTAAATGCAAGCTTCTGTGTGGGAGTGTGCAAGAGTGTGTGTCGTGCCCGTGTTCGACTTCACAGAATATTGTGTCATCGGTATCATGGCATGGTTCGGCTGTTCCGGATTCACGGCCATATGTTATGAAAGTGGTGAATCGAAGGTGGTCTGTCTCATTCCTATACACGTTAAAAGTACATCAAATTAGTTATGCCAGAATAGATCACACAATTCATTACCGGCAATTAGATACAAACCTGCGCACCGCGCATCAACGTTCTCACGCGCACTTTACGGACGAGAATACTAAGTTTATATAGAGAGAGAGTGTGTGTCTTATATGCAGCCTGTCGCATGATCTGTACGTCTATGCTGAGTTTGGCGATGTGCCGGGCTGTTACAACTCTGCTAAGAGTTAAGAACAGTAGAAGGGACTCATTTTTGGCTTCCTATATGCGGGTGATGTGTCCAGTGAATGGCCAGTTACCTGTGGAGATAGTCTGTAGCCGGTCTCAAAGCTGCTGCCCGATATCCTCCCCGCCATCTTACAATCACTTATAATACATTTTAACAATCCCTCATATGCCAATGTTAGTTACAAGTGATGATGTGGAAGATTTCCGGATCATTTACCGTCACAGCGAGTCCAAGGTATAGCGTGTGTGCTACAGATAAGTATACGTCGCCACTATCTGCTCGTATCTGCATATGTTCCAGCTTATGGGCCGGGTTTAAGTTGCATGTGCTACTGTGTGGTTGTATTTCATGATAAAGACATAGAGTTATAACGCCTGCCGTTCGTAAATATACCCCTGCTTGTGAATGGAATTGCAAAGGCTGTCACACGTATGTATGTATTTGCAATGGTATAGCCTTTTAAAGGCTGTCATGTAGTTGTCTGTCATAACAACAACAAAGACGTTGAATTGAACGACCACTTGTACGCATGTGTTTTCGATCACAAAGCCACAGATGCGTCAGGGTTCAATAACAAATCAAATGCACCTCAGTGTAGCAGCTGTCATGCCTAGTTTCTGTTCTATGGTGAAATTGTGCCTATTTTGACAACTAGTGTGACCCCCCCCCCACCCCACCCCCCCAGGGTGTCTGTACCTGATGACACCAGCGTAATTCGAAGATCGCGTTTGTTCTTCTTTCTGCACTATGGCTGGACTTGCTGATACAAGGCCAAAACCTGCATACGCAAAATGAGCTATTCAGGAGAGCATGTCTTGTGCGGGTGCGTTTGTTTCGTGGCACGAAATGATTGGTTTCGTGACTGTATAGTAAGTGTAGTCCTGGCCTTTTTTTCTGGGAAGCAGGACAGCTAGCTCGAGTTCATGGTACCTCGCAGGTCAGCACTACCGCGCTCCAGGCTGTTGGCCAATGAAAGGGGCTATTCTGGTAACAAACTGGTGCGCCAATACCTATATATAGTATACAAAGCTAGAAATACGTTTGAACCTATGCTCGTATATGTTAGACATATGCAAAGATCATAGACCAACCAATTATAGATTTACTTTGAGTCGGAATCTTTCAGACGTATTACACTATATTCGCCCTATATGACATATATACAAACATACATACTTATGACATACACACATACATACGCACGTACGTGCATACATGCATGTATGATAGGAGGCATACTTTGCTAAAGTAGTAGATGCGTTGATGACAGATGAAAGCGAGCTGACAAAGCCTAAGTTCTACACAACCATGAAGCTACCGACGGAAGGTACGGAACCTGCACCCATGGTAGGTAAGCCACCCTCTCTTGATCCTCGTTCAAAGTCCCAGATGCATGTTTTAGGTGTAAATTTAAAGACAATTGTCTAATGTTATAATAATATGATTACTTCTGCCTATAGGCGTGTGTCTGACGCACAGAGAAAGAGAATTCGTTTACTCGGAGTGTATGTACGCACACGTGAGTGACGGCCATATCAGTGTGTTGTATGGGTTTGCATTCTTGTGTGTGATATTTGGATCCTACTCATAATAT